GAAAAACCAAATTTTGAAAGTGTCAGATCAATTTTTAGGTGATCTCGAGTCATGTGCCAAAGTTTCACACAGTTCAATCCAATATCCTTAAAAAAGTGTCTTATTTGAATTAACTGATTGGAGAGGGGTTTCACTTTATCTTCCGATTCCTATGAGAGCGCGTAAGTATGTGAAGTTTGCAGCAAGCGATGCTACATGCTGCCTCGCTTCAGCTTGTGTACTCCGACTCTAGCGCAAACTTTACGTGCGCGCACGCCCATACACATTCGGACGATGTAAGGAATATTTTATTTGAATGTCTACCGTGTTGAACCTTATTTATGTACTTTTATGAGTGTACATTGCATGCAGAATTTCACAGATAAATGAAATATGAATTCGTTTTCTAATATACAAAAAAAATGTCTATTGCCATTTTATAAACCCGGTAGAATCAACCCAACTTTAGCTTATTTTGTAGAAACTTGCAATAGAATCTATGGGTTGATAAACAAATAATAGTGACCATATTATTTCAGTTATAAATCTGTTCTGTAAACGTCCCTCGCGAACCCCTTTAAATTTATCTGGGGGAATGAATCAACTGTGGTGCGCTAGTCGTTTTTACCTCGTAAAATGTTCTGTTGTCTTTTAGCGATGATGTGATGGTTCCTACTCATGGGCGGTGGAATCAAAAGTCTTTTCAAATTCTGCAGCCGCCTGCGACGACTTTTCTCTTGTCGTCCGCTTCAGCGGTTTAACCAAAATGGCATTTTCATTTTGAGTCATGCATTCGCGGTGCAATGCGCGGCGATATGAACGGATCGGTCTATATACGAGTATATCTGAGAAGTCAAACCATTCGTAGAAGTATTCTCTAGATTGAATGTACTGATTTGTTTTAAATTTTACCACATGAATATGGAGGCCCTAAGGTAAGTCCTGAAACTCATGAAATGTCATTTTTTATCAAAAATGTGTTTATTTATCATGGATTACAACTAATGTGGCATCATCTGTGCATGTTTTTGATGTTTTACACTTTTTAGGGGCTTAGAAGAGAAACTGAAGAATTTCAGGATCTAGCATGAACAATTTAGAATACTATACTAATCGAATGTTACTGAATCGCATGAGAAAATATAGAAAATATTTTGATGAACGATTTCGAAAGAATACTGGCATTTCCCATTAGTAGCCGTGATTTTAGTGCAAAAATGAATGGCCGCTAAATGTGGCAGATGGCACCATTAGTCTAGCAGAGTATTAAAAATCATGAATTTGGGCGAATTCCTAAGTTTTAATTCGATCTGTTTATAATCATTCTATTAAAATAGCTTAAAGTGCTCGTGGAATGTAGCTTTAGGAGGATAGTCATCCCAACTCGAGGATCGTCCTCGCATAGCAGGGTCGGCTTTTCTACAACATAGAACGCGATTAAACAACATTAGTCATAATATGGACACCTTTCCAAAATTCTCCCTTTCAGCTCTTCCAGCAAACAACTCGTTGATGAGAAAGGGCGCATACTGTGGATATTAGCCGCTAGTATCTGAGAGTTGTTCTGCATCTCTTAATCAATATTGCATACAGACAATCCTTAGAAAGTTAAAATTCACGTAGTTGACGGAATAATATTATTCGGCCGCGAACGGCAAATTTGAGTCCCGAAACCGTCTTGTAATCGACCTGGAAGCAAGTAAATACTGCACAGATCGAACGATCCGACAGTTTTTCTATTGCGCGTATCAAACCTCGCCGCGTGCGCTAACAAGTTATAGTCTCTTCATGTTAACTCCGAACTCTTCCTCTCGCTTATTGCCAAAATAAATTTATTGTACGAACGTGCAATATGGCACGAACCCGCGATTAACAAATTTTTGGGACGACAGTTGACGACACAAATTGCTACCGTTATAATATATACATATGCATATATATTGTTACTTTACTCGCGCCCTTGCCCCCTTTGGTCGGTCGCGCCGTGCGACGCACTTGGACAGTCGCGACGATTTTTGCCTTCTCCGATTTTTCGAACTGCACTAAATTTTCTTTCGGCTATTTCAAATTAGCCCGGACTTTCAACAATGCGATGCCACAGCCACTTAGCAAATTTCATCACTGAAAGCCACGTGAAAGGAGATCTAGGAGTGATGTGAACGTCTTGTCTGAGAACGGTTCGGTCGTGGACTCGAAGGTGTTAAAGGATTTCGCATGTCTTTATGTCACGTGACGTGTGAAGTCTGATTCTATTTCGTCCTTTAATGTTATACGAGATCGAGGGCGGGCTCTACGGTCGCACTTGGTAGAATGTGTTCTCGTGACCTGTAACTGAGGGGGAACGGCGCCATGCTGTCAGTCCCTCAGGTGTGTATGTGTATGAAATTTTGTACGGCGGTTACTGGATCGCCTCGAGCAGCTGGTCACCCGGGGAACGTCGCTGTGGCGTCAGGCCTCCCGCGGAGAGTGAGCCGTGCCTTCTAAATTCCCGAATATATAACGCTGATTCCCGGGAGGGGAATCCATCGATTACGCCTTCTTTGGATGGTGGTCTGAGATATCCCGACCGGACGCTTTGCCGGCGTATTCGGGTGCCCGGTCCCACCTCGGTCGGTTACTCGGGGCTAAGATATGAACGCTAAGTCGGGGCACCTGGTGCCTCATCTCCTAGAATCTTACGAGTCCTCTTGCCAGGGGGAGCAGCGCTGTACCGTCACGCCACACAAGGGTAATGCGCTTTGAGTAATGCTCGAAAAGCGCTATGCCATCAAATCCAGGGCTCCTTCGATCAGAACAGTACGATGGAACAAAATGCGCGCTTTTTATACCCACATAGCCCATGCTCTTTGACATGCTATTGGACACGATGGACGCCCTTAATCGAATTCACAATTTATCGCTTTTTCATTTGCGGTGGTCAAGGCCGTGGTTATTTCGTCCGATTGAGATGATTCAATTCATCGTTTAATTCAAAATATTCCTAAGTTTAGATTCGTGTCTGCGGTTTTGCCCCTGTTTATGTGCGCGCGTAGCTCGCTTTCGGCGCGCCGAGCAAGTGGTTGTATTTATGCCCCCGCGGAGTCGTTATCACGGCTACTATACTTCTCGCAGAAAGATTTTAAGCGTGACTCATAGATGACGCGCCAAGTACTCCCGATTCGCCATGATGTATTAAAACATGTATTGTGACGTGGAAGAATTCTCTCGTCACAATTATGGGCGCAGCGGCGGCAGTGAGTACCGAGTTTGTAAATAATTAATTGCAGCATGTGTTACGGCGGCGACTCTTGGGGTCATCGTGGATAATCCTTAGTTGTGAATATGTTTTGTAATTATTTGCTTAATAGTTATCTATCGCGTGTAGCAATATTTAATATAACCGGTCATTGCCGCGAGCGATCCGAGTCGAGAGGAGCATTTGGGTAAAGGGCATCCATCTGGCGATCCCTGGAAGAGATTTGAGAGGTATTAGGGCCTTTGATTACCGTATACTTATACTTTTCGTAACATCTAACGTAAGCGTGCCGACGCGTAGCGGCGACGTGTGGTGGATTTGAGGAGGGGGTTTTCCGCATTTCGCCGATTCTGCCGGTCCTCGGACTCGTAGAGAATACGCTGGAAGGCGCCAGCGGTGCCGAAGGCCGCACCGCTACCATTCTGCTGCCATCTAACGCCGTCCCGTATTTGTTTCGCTTCGAATTTGGTGAGCAAACCCACCTGGGGTTGCATGAAATTCTATTCCGCTCTGTTATCTTGAAATAAATTGTAACCTATGAATCCCTCCTCGAGACGAAATACCTATGTCCTGCCATTTTCCGTACCGCGGGCCCCGGAAGATAGAGTAGCGACCTAAATTTTGTGCCTTCGTAGCTGTTTTCATTCGTTTTTGGACCGAGACTCTTTTGCCGTGTATAAAGTCTCGAGTCTGAGACCTCCAGGTAACATTAGAGTTGGGCGTTATGCCCCTTTGTTTCTCCCGGGGCGCTGGGAGAAGTCTTGTGAGGAACTGGTGGCTTCTCTTTATCGTATCGAGACCGTGGATTTTTTCATGCCGGGCGGGTCCAGAAGTGTACCTTGTATTGAATAAAAGAGTGTCCGAGGGTTAACTTGGTGAATTTTCTCGTAGTCTACCTGAATCTCAATGTTCCGATATCTTATCGCCGCTCCGCTTATTTCGGAACCCTCGTCTCTGCCGTTTCGTAAGCGGCCGTGTGGGTTGTTGGGGGGCTGACCGGCCGGAGGCCGATTTTTCACGCGTTTTCCGATGCCGGACCCGAACATCCTAGCCATTGACAGGCTCGCGGGATGTAGCAGGTTACCTCGGGCCCGAAAGAAATTAAAGGGAGCCATTTTCCTAGCGTTCGAATATCGAGATATCTCGAGATATCTCGTAACCCGGCCACAAGGTTCGGTTTGCTACATACAAGATATCTCGTGACCCGTACGCAATGTGTTAACTAATGTCATTTAAAGTGAAATAAATATAATGCCAATAAAAACACAAATAATCTGTTCAAAACAGTCAGTCTTTTCGCCAAATAGAGGGAACCTCCTCTACCGTTCCTGCAGCAGTAGCTGCTTACCGGTGCCATTGGTATCCGTAAGATTCGGCTCCACTACGACCCCTCCACCCTCCTGAGGGCAGCGGGTTCAGAAAAACCCGGATTCCGTCGGCCAGTCGACAAACCGTGAGTTGCATTTAGCTAGTCAAGGACGCAGGGACGCGTCTACACGTCGTCCTGCACCCTGTTGTTTCCGCGAGGAGCTCCGTGGAGGCAGTAACTCCGCGTCCGCGTAACGCCGGAATCCGGGCAGCACCCAGCAGATAGGGAGGACGGATAATCAGCCTGTCCTTCGCCCACCTCGGCCAATTTGGGGTGGTCCCGAGGTCAAAGTAAACTCACTACCTATAAGACCTTAAACTCGTCGGACTTCGTTCTCACCCCTGTGCTCTTTTTCTGGGCCGGTCGGTATAGATGGCATGCCCCTGCCGCGGGCTCGTAGAGCGCGCGAATCGCTTGTGGGCCGCAAAATCAGGTCCCACTTAGAAGCTTGTGGCGTGGCGACCACGTACCAAATTTCTTTTTATAACTTACATTTGATTGACAAAACAATCGCAGAGATTTGCCAAGGTCCATGCAGCCTTCACACGCACAGTGGGAGAAGAATCCTTAATAGAAAGGCACACAGCTTCGGTAAGTTTGATAAAAAATGCAGGATCCTCCTCGAGAGAAGGTAGGGTAACCAGCATCCCCAAAGCACGAATGCTCGCAGCTCTTACTGTACTTTCTTTGTTTGGCAGTGCTTCAAAGAGTGTTGTAACAATTGATGTGCTGTGCTTTCGCTGGAAAAAGTTATCACTGTTAAAAGTCTTCTGCTAGAAGGGAACGAGAATCTTTAAGAAAAAATAGGATATAGGGGATACGGTACATAAGGCGAAGTGAACCTCGCATCCAATCAGTCGATTTGCATAAGGCATATTTTTAAAAGAGTTTTCTACTAAACGAGCTGAATTAAAATTTACTCAAATGTAAAGAAATTAACATGTACTACAGTACATAACTCGTGAGCTTGAAACAAATATCCACATTCAAAATTTCACTTTAAATTAAACAAATATTTCATTTACTTTGCCTAGACCAGAAACAAAATAGCGTTGTACTCTTATATTTCTATCAATATACAATTCTTGGAGGTTCTAATGTGAAAAACCACAGTGCTAGGACGTCCACACAATTTAGAACACTGTAGTAATCGAAAAACGCTCATTTCAATGTGATAATTGTTAAAGAAATGGCTGATGAGTTTCTGTGCTAAAATGAAAGAGATACCACATGTAGTTCGTGAGGTCTCGTAGAGAATGTTTAGATCGCACGGAATCCGACATACGTCGTAAGGTGGCTGCTACACTCGATTAAAACATAAAAAATTATGAATTCAGGGGATTTGATGTTTCCATTCGATCTCTTTATAATTATTATATTAAAACGGCATGTGAAGTATGCCGTTTCGTGCAATACTCAACATAATACGATACAACTGCCACAATAAATATAAGCGTAGGCAACATGAAAGGATGTTTCATATGATACAACCAGTATAAGAATTCGATTTTATCGACATCGATGAAGTTTTTCGACGACTTTCAATTCATTTTAACAATAGAAAAATCAAGAATTCATATTAACTCTTGGCAATCCGTGCCGCCACAGTGGCGGCATTTTTAGTGTCGTAGAAGTCGGCGTCGACGCATGGCAGTATGATCTTATTCAACCATTTAGGGAAAAATAACTCCGAAAAACTCTAAATTTGCTCTAACTATCTGGTACTCCTCATCGGAGAATTTTGCCGATTGCAAAGGGTTAAAGCAATTTCATTATACCTGGAATTTAAACCATTCGTGTCAGGAAATCGGTTAAAATTCTGCGTAACTTACGGGTAACAGAGCGAATGTTGTAGAATCGATGCTGCCTAGACAGGTACAGGCAGCTTCCCTCAGAGCGGGGTTAGGATCTCGTGCAAGAGAAAGAACCGTATCGAAGACAAATTTCCAGAAGCGGGGTGCGTCGACGTCGGTCGTTTGATGATTTGATAAACATCCAGCGATGGTCTCGATAACACGACATCCGTGCAATGCCAATTGCACGTCAAATTCACGAGCAATAGATACCATAGTAACTGCAACAACGTCCAGGTGTCGGAATACATAATCGCTAAAGTTAGACACTAGCACACTCACTAACTTTAGTGACTGTAGTCTTACAGGTGGGCTTATATTCTGAAAGAGTTCAATAACAGTTAACCGAAAGATATCGCTAGAAATCGTTCAACAACAAAATTTGTCAAGTATATCAGTAAATTCTTGAAGCAGAAGTGCAACAAATGATTATGCATATGATTATTTGAATTATTGGATGACATTTTCGATAAGAATATTAAAAACGGTCCCAATTAACAAAATAATATAATGCACGATTAATTCACATCGCAGTGGAGTTATTATAAAGAGATACAAAATTAACGTTTATCCGCAAACAGCCTTTTTCTCTACATTTAATACATGTTTATAAGACGCGTTCATTTAGAGCGGCAGATCCGTCTGTCTCTAGTCGAGAAAAAACATGTAATTTTACGTAATTGTTTTACGTTAATTGAAAGTATAGTAAACAATTATGAACTATTGCTTTTACGGTTATTACCTATTTCGCAATTGAAATAAGAACAATAAACTATTTCAGATTTCCTGTTTTAAACAGATTTTGATTTTCCATTTGAAATTAAATACTTCCTGAGAAATGAGAATATTAGAAAAGAATTGACCAGAATGATACATGTTCTATCAACTGAATCAACTCTCGAAAAAGTTAAACAACAGACATAACTCGAAATAGCCACTTTCGCAAAAACTGATGAAATTAAATTGTTTACTTGCATTTTAAATCGAAATGCAAGGCATAGAATTATGTGTCCGAAAAAGACATGGACAACGAAGGGTTAACATTACGACTAGATGGCACAGTTAATTCGAGACGACCGTTCTCGTGTAGCAATCGATCCTCCTTTCCCTTTGTTAATTACTTCATCGCGATTGTTACAACATGACAATCCGCCTTGCGAGCCTCGGAAGGAAGGGGGCGATAAAGCCCGAGGGTGAACGACTGCAAGCGAGAACGTCGTCGGGAAGCATAAGATCCGCGAGAGAGCAAGGGAGGACGCCACTCTGAAAGGGACGAGACCGTAGCTCGGGGTAGAAAGGGAGTCTTCCTCGCTGGCGTGAAACCATTGGTGCTAATCTAATTATCAGGAGCCCGAAATCGAGACCCTCACAACAGAGGGTGGAAGGCCCGAGGCCGAAGAGAGTGGTAATGGAAGCCCGAGGCCTATGCAACCCGTCGGAGTAAGGGAGAACGTCACGACTAGCACCCTCGAACCCCGAGCCGGCCTCGACGAAAGGAAACCTATTCCTGGTCAGGGCCCGAAACCCGATCGTATAAGTCTACCCTTCAACCTCTAAGGACAGCGCATCAAATAGGCTACCTCACTCGGACACATGGCCTCCAGGGCGGATATGGAGACACAAGTATGCAGTCTCCTTACTCCACCGACTCTACGTCCTCGTGCTACCACCGAAGATAAGTGTCGACGGACTCGATCGCTGTTCGGATGGTTTACCCTCCTCCTTCCGTTTACCCTCCATATATCATGTTTGTCAGAAAATTGATATAACGAAATGTTTGCCATTTAAATTTACTTTGGGCTGTGACGGGGCTGTTCGACCGTCGTCAAATATGCCACAACTTGTTTGCATATAATATCATGTTGCAAAAATGTCAATTCGTTCCGCAATATAAAATTTTCTCTCCAATTATGGTTCAGTCTTTCACTGTCGTATGTTTAATGTGTTCATGTAATCAAATTTGAAAATTAACAAGAAATCCCGTGGTTTTCTCATTGCTTCATAAACTTATTTTTTATATTAATGTTTTCCAGCGTTGTTCGTTCAATTTGTGCATACTTCAATCTTTTGACAGCATTTTGCAGTAATGTAATTCAAGTCAGGTTGAGAAAAATTAAACCATCAATTTTCTAGCAATTCATTTCCTTTTCGGTGTATTAGTTGGGGCGAATCGAGAAAAGATGATTAGAAACTACGTTAAGAAGATTGGGCATCGTGTGTAAAAAAATCACACCCAAGAAACCTTTCAGACTGCACACGAGCGAGAAAAACGGGACCAAATAACTTTGACAGATACTAAAGAAATTTATAAAGTTTTACATTGGTTTCTTATTTTTAAGGAGAATAATATGCATTTTAAGACATTCATAAAGATTAACAATTACGTTTTCTTTCATGAATTTCTATACTTATGTTGTTTTACATCTGCACGGGAAAAAAAAATGAGTGAATTCAACTCATTTTCTCAGTTAAATATGGCGAACTCAATAAGCGAGTTGGTTCAACTTACATTTAGTGCAAAATCACATTTTGTAGTTGAATCAACTCCAAACTTGACTGAAACAGAATTGATAGCTCCAAATTTAAATTGAGCCAACTAGTTTATTGAGTTCGCCATATTAAACTCTGAAAATTAGATGAATTTACTCTCCTTTTTTTTTCCGCGTGAGTTACTAAAAAATACGAGAGAACGTATGTTTGATGAGGGTTGCACATGCTATTCCTAATAGCAGATTGTGTATTCGATTTAAAAAAAACTGGATGGCACAAAATTTCGTTTTCATTCATAATGTGGTTTATCGGAAACGCGGGAATTTTTCTTTATTTAACCCTTTCTCGCCGAGCGCCGTATATATGCGGCATCCACGCTACGACATGTGGGTACAAGCGCCGCATAGATGAGGCATTGAAATGATGTGTTGTGACGTTATTTTTACTGATATAACTCCAAACAAAGTTCTAGCAATTAACGTTCCGACCCTCTGGTGGAGTTACAAATAAATAATTAACAAAATAGGGTCTCCGTCTCGTGATCGCTCAACAGCAGCAAAATTTGTGGGCGCCAGGCCCTCCGAAGGACCAATCCGGGACCTGAATCGCACGGGCCCAATCCGTCGTGGCTCGCACCAGCGTACGGGAGCTCACGCACCAGCGATGAGCCTCCCAACCCACCCACGGATTCGCACCAGCGTAAGGCCCGAAGGGTCAGTCGCTCAACTAACAGAAGCAAAATTATCTTAAAGTCCAAGACACGCAAAGATTGAACGAAAGGTAGCGATACCAGACGAGACGAAACGTCGCCGACGACGAAAAATAAACCGGGCTAGTTCAGTACGCTCAAGCGACCACGGAGAGGGCGGGGTCCTTTCAAAGAAACAAACCAGAGGCGGAATTAAACTAATGACCTATTTATTCCAAACGGAAAGAGTTGACTTTAACAATTTCTCAAAATGGCCACGGGCGGGCCCACAATCCGGTACCGGCCAGGGCGACGAAGCGCGCACTCGCGCTCAAAGGGGCAATGCGCGCGGCGAAGCGCACGGAAAAGGACGGTGGCTTTAGACAGCCAAAAATCCAAAACGCGACTATATCTTCGATTATAAGGTTAGGCTCGACTACTGGACAAGAATAGCAAACAAATTGAAGACAACGCGAAAATTAAGAATGGTACGCAAGTATCTACGCGAAACTAAATTAAATCGGAAAACCTCAGACGACTAAATTCGCAAAGAAAATATTTAAACGGTGAACAGAAGCCAGCAAAATATGTTGACGGTTTCGGCGAGTAAAGCAGCAATAACACAAAAAATACAAGAAAAAAGAGAAGAAGAAAACGCAGCAATTTCAAAATATCGGCACAAATACTCGACGCGAAATACAGAAAATTTCGGATACATTAAATTTTAATAAATTACAGTTGCTCTGAAGTAATTAGGATCCAACTAAATTTTATCGGATCACAAAGCTAGCATATCAAAATAGTCGAATTTAAGTTCGCACTTCGCGAAAACAAAAGGAAATTAACTGAAGTTCGCACTTCGCGAAACAAAAAGGAAATTAACGTGTCGACCGCTCAAGACAGCATTCTCGAGTTCGGGTCGACACGGTTTCTTGATCCGACCGAGGAGAGAGGCAGCAAGGAGATATTTTACTTCAAAAAGGCCGCTCACACGAGACTTTGGCCGCAATATACTGAGGCTGCTCACACGAGACTTGGCCGTCAATATTAGAAAATGGTCGCTCACACGAGACTTTGACCGTGAAAATATAAAAAGGGCCGCTCACACGAGACTTTGGCCGCAAAAATATAAAAGGGGCCGCTCACACGAGACTTTGGCCGATTAGACGCAGAAGGGCCGACCGCGTGGCGTGCGGCCCGACGACGGATTACCCGGGGAAAACGTGAAACCGGGAAACTTACAAAAATCTACTCAAAATGTTACTGTACGCTCAAACCTCGGGGCACGGCGAGTGCAACGGCGCTCCCTCGGTGTCCTGGAAGTCCACCGGCGGCGGCGATGCTCCCCAGGCAGCGGTATTAAGGCTCGACGGCTAGAAGTTCTCGTTGATTGGCCGCCGTCGGCTGCCAAATTGCGTAGGCCAATTGACAGCGGTCGTGCTCGTAATTTCGACGATTTTGGATGATGACAGCCGCGGCGCAAGTTCGCGCGCCGAATTTGAAGCGTATCCTGCGGTCCAATCGGGGCGAGCGGCCGGCGCGTGACGTCATCCGCAGTTCCAGGGACACAGCTCCTCGGGGACTCGGTGGCGCCGGTCCTGAGCTCCCCTGAGCCAAGATTCCTCGCGATTTTGCCCGGGAGTGCCGAAATCCCTCGATGCAACGGCTCCCAGGTGAGGGGACCAGTGGGCCCTTCCGCCCTGGAGTCACCGCGGTCTGGCCTCGGCGTAGGAGGGCCACGCAATTGGGCCCCCCCCACACCGCCCTTTTATGGATTCCCTTGAGTCAAAGGTCATGGCGGGGGGTCCACAGTCACCGGCAATGCGCCCTCCTCCCGCCATCAGTGAGGGACCGGAAATCCGGGTACGGACGCGGTGACACAGCGACGCCGCCATGGGTCGGCCCTTGCCGTCAAGCGCGGGGTCACGGGTGGCTCGGTTCGGCCCTACTCCACGCGGCCACGGCACCCATGGGCGGCGGCGGGGCGAGGCCTCTCTGCCACCGTTGTCGTCCGCTTCTGTGGTCCCTCGAGGGCGCCCTTGTCCCGCGCTGGATGTTGACTTCTTGCTCGCACTCGCCTCACCGCGAGGACGTCCTAACGTCTAAGCTATACACAACTTATGATATAAAAAAAAAACATTAC